ACTGCTTAGCTGTCCCTCATCGAGGTAGACAAGCAAGCAGGGAACCCTGAGAACTGTCTGTCCGGGGTGGGGGTCGGGTCCCTTTAAGCACAGCCCTCGGCCAGCCTGAGACAGCAGCTCCACACCCCAAATCGTAACCTGATGCCCCGCTGGCACTGCTTCCGGCCAGCCTTAGCTTTGGTTCAGGGTCCACTCAGTGTGGACATGCTATTTCGAATTAGCAAAATGCTAATTCGAATTAGTTTTTAGGTCTAGATGCACTAGTTCGAATTAGCTTAGTTCGAATTAACTAATTCGAATTAAGTTAGTTCGAATTAGTGCTGTAGTGTAGACATACCCCTATAGAGGAGGAACACAGAAATATGTAAAAATGTTTACAATGACTTTTTTTTATATATATCACAAAGATCCCAAGTATTTTGTGATTGCATGGCTAAGAAACTTGCTGCAGAACTGTATTCTATAACTAAAGTATTCATTCCTTTAAAAAGTTTTCAGCTTAAGGCCTTCCAAAGATGAACTGAGGGTAAAACCAATGTAGTGTTGTCTGCCTTAGTTTGCAGAGAGCCTGAAGCAATGATTTGCTTGCGACCTGCTCTAAACCTATCAATGGAATGTAAATTTTGAAATCCAGTTACAATAATTTAAATGTTAATAAATTAACTCTTTTGCTCCTTATCATTTTAACAGAACCTGCTAACTTGTTTATCTCATACTGCTTCCCATGTGTCCCAAACCTCCGACTGTCCCTTAACTAACGAACAGAGCTCTCAGCTTCCTTCCCAATTACTTCTACAATGCAGATATTTGTTTTCATACAAAATTCTGTAGCACATTAAATTAGTAGCAGCATAGAATACATGGAATTAATCAAATGGAACAAGGATAAATTCCATATTTAATTAAATAAAACCCCTATTTTTAATTTAATCCGAAACTACTACAGAAAACATCTACTTTGTTACAGAATCCTGAGACTTTCCAGAAGAAATTAAGTAAAGCTTTCCACGGAGTATACAGGATTGTGTGCATGAGATACACATAAAGAAGAGCTGAAATGATTAGTGTTTACAGCATAAGTGGGTATACTAGTATTCCATGGATGGTGCCTATGCATGTGTTTCCTGCTAGAATCAACCTCTTTAGAATTTTGCATGTTTGTCCTTCCTGCATGCCCAAGAGTAATGATCTGTTGTGTAATGTAACAGAACTTTTTAAAGCATTATCTTTTTGAGGATCTCAGCTCATTTATCAAATGCAAGTAGGCACTGTTACTCCCAATTTAAAAGATGAGAAAAAGAGGATGTGGCAAGGGTCCCTCTTCCCCAAGCCACCACTGGGTAGGCCTCCTCCCCTTAGCCCCCCGAGTTAGGGGTCTTGCAGCCGGTCTCAATGGTAGGGAGCCTGGGCCAGTTGTCCACAGGCTCCCTCCTTAGCTGCCTTTACCTAATGCTGGTCAAAATTGTTCTCTCCGGTTACTTCCTCTCTGCCTCTCCACCACCTTCCTTTCGTCCTCTCCCTCTCCTCCCCAGCCTGCAACTGGTGAAGCTTTTAAAGGCCTTTAGACAGACAGCAGAGAAGTCAGCTGGCTCCAATTAGTCTGAGCCAGCTCCCTCCTAGCTGCATCCAATTGGGCTGCAGTTCTCTGCTTCTCTCACAGGGTTTTTCCCTTTTGGGCTGCCTTTTCCCTTCTCTGCAGCAGCTCCCTGGCCTGACCCTGTCACACATCCTCCCCCCCCCCCCCCCCCCGCTCAACTCTATGGGGCTGGGTTACTTGGGTCGGACAACAATGCAGCCTTGACAACCCGTCTGCATTCCCGCACTGGGTTCTTGATCTATGTTGCACATGGAAGTGAAAGGGCTGCAGGGACAGAAACCACCGGGTAACCCTCGAATTTCTGCCTTTGTTTTGGTGCATCCACTGCAGAGGTGCAAAATCGGTGACCAGGGTAAACTTCTGCCCACAGAGGTAGTAGCGAAGGCTTTCCATGGCCCACTTTAGCGCGAGACGTTCCCTTTCTACCACAGCTTAGTTTCGTTCCCTCGGCAGCCGCTTCCTGCCGAGGTACATGACCATTTGAGACAACACAGCTCCCAGTCCTACCTTGGAGGCATCGGTTTCCAGGATAAACTCCTTCTTAAGATCAGGGGCTATGAGAACTGGATTGCCGCAGAGGGCATTATTGAGATCTTTAAAAGCTTCTTCCGTCTCCATGGTCCACTTTACAATGTCGGGACCACAAGTTCTAGTCAGGTTGGTCAGAGGGCAGGCCCTGGAGGCAAAGTTGGGGATGAATCTGCGGTAATATCCAACCAACCCTAAAAATGCCCTGACCTGCTTTTTCCAGGTTGTTCGGGGCCAATTCTGTATTGCATCCACTTTGTTGAGCTGGGGCCTCACTACCCCTCTTCCCACGATATACCCGAGATATTTGGCCTCGGCCAGCCCAATCATACACTTTGCGGGATTCGCCGTAAGTCCCGCTCTCCTTAATGTCTCCAATACTGCCTCTACTTTTTCAATGTGTGTGTCCCAATCAGGACTGTGGACAACAACATCGTCCAAATAGGCAGCTGCATACTTGGCATGGGGCCGCAACAGCTTGTCCATGAGCCTTTGAAACATTGCAGGAGCCCCATACAAACCAAAAGGGAGGACCGTGTACTGAAAGAGACCCTCCGGAGTTGAAAAGGCTGTCTTTTCTCTGGCCCCTGGTGCTAGGGGTATCTGCCAGTAACCCTTGGTTAAATCAAGGGTGGATAGAAATCGGGCCTTACCCAGTTGGCATGGGATAGGCATTAAATTTGGATACTTCGTTTAACTTTCGAAAGTCATTGCAAAAGTGAAGGCTTCCATCTGGCTTGGGCACCATAACAATAGGGCTAGACCACTGGCTACGGGACTCCTCAATGACTCCGAGCTTCAGCATTTTCTTACAAACCAAAAGGGAGGACCGTGTACTGAAAGAGACCCTCCGGAGTTGAAAAGGCTGTCTTTTCTCTGGCCCCTGGTGCTAGGGGTATCTGCCAGTAACCCTTGGTTAAATCAAGGGTGGATAGAAATCGGGCCTTACCCAGTTGGCATGGGATAGGCATTAAATTTGGATACTTCGTTTAACTTTCGAAAGTCATTGCAAAAGTGAAGGCTTCCATCTGGCTTGGGCACCATAACAATAGGGCTAGACCACTGGCTACGGGACTCCTCAATGACTCCGAGCTTCAGCATTTTCTCAACTTCAGCTTGGACCTCTTTTTGTTTTGCCTCGGGTATCCGGTATGGCTTAACGTGCACCTTCACCCCGGGGTCTGTGATGATGTCATGGTAAACCTCCGTAGTTCTACCCGGTTCTGTCGAAAACACATCCTGATTCCTCTCAATCATGTCGGCTGCTTCGGCCTGTTGGTCCGGAGTCAGCTCGGGAGATATTTCCATCCACGTTGGTGGGTTTTCCCTTTGGGGTGGTGGCCCCAGTGCAACCAATGCCACTTCTCTGTCTTGCCAGGGTTTCAGCAGGTTGACATGATATACTTGCTCAGGCTTTCGCTGGCCAGGCTGGCGAACCTTATAGTTTACCTCTCCCACTGCTTCTATTATTTCATATGGCTCCTGCCACTGGGCTAGGAGCTTACTCTCTGCAGTTGGCACTAGCACCATCACCCGGTCTCCCAACTGGAACTTCCGAGAGGTTGCTCGCCGGTTGTAATAGACCTGTTGTGTGCCTTTTCTAGGTGCTTCCACACTATGGGGGTGACTGGCTATCCTGTTCCTCATTTGGAGCACATGATCAACTATATTTCTCCCCAGGTTGAGTTGTTCCTCCTAGGCCTCTTCAGCAAGGTCTAGTATGCCCCGTGGGTTACGCCCATACAAAAGTTCAAACGGGGAGAAGCCAGTAGAAGCTTGGGGAACTTCCCTTACCGCGAACATGAGGTAGGGTAGTAGCATATCCCAATCTTTGCCATCCCGGCTTACCACTTTCTTAAGCATACTTTTTAGGGTCCTGTTAAACCGTTCAACTTGACCATCGGTTTGAGGATGGTATACTGAGGTCCGCAGGGCCCGTATGTGGAGCAAGGTACACAAGTCTTTCATACGCTTGGACACAAAGGAGGTCCCTTGGTCTGTTAGGATTTCTTTAGGAATCCCTACCCTAGAAAAGATTTGAATTAGTTCCTTAGCGATGGTCTTGGATAGGGTGTTGCGGAGGGGCACTGCCTCTGGGTATCGAGTAGTATAGTCCACTACAACTATTATGCATTGATGGCTCTGGGCAGACTTTTCTAGTTGGCCAGCTATGTCCAAAGCAATCTGTTCAAATGGGATTTCAATGATTGGTAGGGGTACTAATGGGGCCCTCAGGTGTGGTCGGGGCCCATGTAGTTGGCACTCCGGGCAGGAAGCACAATACCTCTGGACTTCTACATAGATCCCAGGCCAAAAGAACCTCTGAAGAATGTGGTCCAGGGTTTTATCCACCCCTAGATGTCCTCCAAATAGATGACTGTATACCAATTCCAGTACTGCCCCCCGGTGCTCTCGGGGTACCAAGAGTTGTTCCACCTCTTGGCCCTGTATATGAGCTACCCTATATAGAAGATCCTCCTTGATTATATAGTAGGGCCCAGTGCCCTTGTTCCTCCCCTCCACTGGGACCCCATTAACTTCAACCAACTCCTTACGGATATTCTGATATATTGGATCATTGGCTTGATCCTGCCCAAAGGTCTCACTTGGGGATCTCACCTGCTCCAGGGAACCTAGCCCTCTTTCCTCCCCTGATGAGCTGGGTCCTGCTTCAGGCTCATCCTGTCTTGGGGCTTCTGCTCTAGTAGTTGGGTAGGCCTCCCCCTCTACCAGTGCCTGCTTCCAACCTTGGGTCAAGATCCTCATCCCCAATTTTTTTGTGGCCCTTCTCTCCTGTTGGGTTTTCCGGGGTTCCCCAGGCATTGAGAACAGGTCCTGGGAGAACTCATGGAAGGCCGGGAGAGAGCTATCCTCCTCCCCCCAGTCCCATGGTAGCAGGTCACTAAACCCGGGGAAGTCTTGTCCAATGACCACCGGGAAGGGGAGCTTCGGGACCACCCCCAGTTACCTCTGTAACCCGCCCTTGTACTTCTATTTCCACAGGAATGGTGGGGTAATAATTAGTATCCCCGTGTACACAAGATACCCCAGTGTACTTGGCTCAAGTTAGCTGGTCTTGCCCCACTAGCTTCCCTGAGACCAACGTAACTGCACTCCCGGAATCTACTAAGGCGGTGGTTTCCACCCCATTCATTTTCATGGGTTGGGTATACTGATGGGGGCCCACCTAGGACACTAGGACACTTTGTAGGTTCCCCAGGTCACATTGCATAGGCTCGTCTACGTTGGGGCACTGAACCACAATATGCCCTATCTCCCCACAGGCATAACATCTCTAACCTGGGTGGGACAACCCCTTTTGTTTTGGGCTGTTGGGTCTTGATCCCTGGCCCTCTCCCATCCAGACCCCAATCCTTTCTTCCTGTCTGGACTCTGTCAGAAACTTCAGGGGCCCGGGGTCTTGGGGTAAAGGTGGACCTTCTGCTCCACTGCACCTCGACTCTGGGGCTGCAGGAAAGTCCCTTAGCCATCAATCGTCTCTCAATGAGAGCCACCAGCTCATCAAACGTCGCGGGGTCATTCTGGCCCACCCATTCCCGAAGGTCTGGGGGTAAACCCCTCATGTACCGGTCAAGGACGATCACCTCGATAATCTTTTCGGGGCTGTGGATGTCAGGACGCAGCCACTTCTGGGCCAGATGGACCAGATCAAACAACTGAGTTCTGGGGCCCTGGTCGTCTCAATATTGCCAGTTATGAAATCTCTGGGCTCTCACTGCGACCGTGACCCCAGCCCGTGCCTGGATCACAGCTTTCAGCTGGGGGTAGTCGGATGTAGCTTCCTCTGCCATGTCAAGATATGCCTTCTGGGCTTTCCCACTCAGAAAAGGGGCCAAAATGCTGGCCCACTGAGCTTGAGCTGTCCTTTTGAAGGCCAACAGATAGGCCTCAACCTCATCATCTTTTGTCATTTTGTGTAAGTAGAAATTGGCCTGTAAGGGTTGGGCCCCATCTTGATCACGTACCTGGTCTGTCAGGGCTTTCAGCTGATTCACCACCTCCTGCAGGGTGGCCCTGTCCTGGGCTACCTGGCTCATCAACAACTGGGTAGTTTCTTGTTGGATCTGCACCGACTCCTGCTGGGCAGCTGCTTTTACCTGAGTAGCCTCTTGTTGGGCAGCCGTGGCCTGCACCAGTGCTTTTACCAGGTCCTCTATGGGTACTTTTGCTTTGCGAGGGGCCAACTTGGCTAGATTTGGGTTGCTGTGAGGCCTCACAGCTGCAATCCCACTTCTGACACCAGGTGTGACAAGGGCACCTCTTCCCCAAGCCACTACTGGGTAGGCCTCCTCCCCTTAGCCCCCCCGAGTTAGGGGATCTTGCAGCGGGTCTCAATGGTAGGGTGCCCGGGCCAGGTGTCCACTGGCTCCTTCCTTAGCTGCCTTTACCTAATGCTGGTCAAAATTGTTCTCTCCAGTTACTTCCTCTCTGCCTCTCCACCACCTTCCTTTCGTCATCTCCCTCTCTTCCCCAGCCTCCAACTGGTGAGGCTTTTAAAGGCCTTTAGACAGACAGCAGAGAAGTCAGCTGGCCCCAATTAGCCTGAGCCAGCTCCCTCCCAGCTGTATCCAATTGGGCTGCAGTTCTCTGCTTCTCTCACAGGATTTTTCCCTTTTGGACTGCCTTTTCCCCTCTCTGCAGCAGCTCCCTGGCCTGACCCTGTCACAAGGAAAAGAGGTTAAGTGAGTTGCTCCAGGTCATATATTAAGCCAGTGGTAGAGTTGGAACCTGTGTTTCCTAAATACCAGTTCAGTAATGCATATTTTCTAAAAATAATTGCATATAAGCCATTATTTTAGTTTCAGTTGTGAAATAATGCCTGAAGTCTTTTAGCATTATATTACAATCTTGCTAATTTTTGAAAATATCTTTTAAAGTTACCACTATTGTCCTCCAAACCAATATGTTATTGCATCTATCTATCAATCTAGAACATAACCCAATACACAACCTACATAAAGCAAAGGTCTGCCATATCCTTTATAGCAATATGTACTAACATTACTTCCCCGCTTATCAAAATTTCTCCTTTATATGGATGGCTCTAAAACCCTGGAGAACATTAAAAATGTACTATACACACTTTTAATATACATACTGATTTTTAAATCTACATTTTCAATATTACAGAATAAGCACCCCTTTAAGGACAGAATTCTTTCTAACTTAATGATTTCAGTTTAGATATGGAACTAAGTTAGGGCAATTTTTGACCTTTATTTGTTCTGAATGCTGTCTTTAATTAAGAAAAGGTCAAAAGTTTAAAAAGAAAATCTTTATGCAAATTTTTCTATATTATGTACACTTTATTCTTTTACATAATGAGGTTGATCATGGGAAGCTAGCTGCAACTTGGCATCTGGAGTACTCCATAATTTTAAAGTGTAGGGATATATAGAAATATATATATATAAATTGCTATAATGGATCAGTCAGATGGTAAATCTAGCCAGTATCTTATCTCCAACAGTGGTCAGTCAGCATAAGTTGCTTCAGAGAAGAGTGCTTTACAAGTATGAATAATCTGCCAGTAGGGAAGATTTCTTCATATGCTTTAGCAATTCATGATTGATTTATATCCTGAAGCATTAGGATTAATATTCCTTTTATGAAACAAAATACAGGACTATGTAGCACTTTAAAGACTAACAAGATGGTTTATTAGGTGATGAGCTTTTGTGGGCCAGACCCACTTCCTTCTTCTACTATTTGATCTGAGGAAGTGGGTCTGGCCCACGAAAGCTCATCACCTAATAAACCATCTTGTTAGTCTTTAAAGTGCTACATAGTCCTGTATTTTGATTCAGCTACACCAGACTAACACGGCTACATTTCTATCACTATTCCTTTTATGGATATTCTCATCCCAGTAAATATCAAATCCTTTTTGATTGCTACTAAAATCTTGCCCTCAGTGACAGTGGCAATGAGTTTCACAAGTTTTTTTTCTTTTAGAAATGTTTAAATAAGAACAAAACATAAGAACGGCCGTACTGGGTCAGACCAAAGGTCCTTCTAGCCCAGTATCCTGTCTACCGACAGTGACCAGCGCCAGGTGCCCCAGAGAGGGTGGACCGAAGACAATGATCAAGCGATTTGTCTCCTGCCATCCCTCTCAAGCCTCTGACAAACAGAGGCCAAGGACACCATTTTATCCCCTGGCTAATAGCCTTTTATGGACCTAACCTCCAGGAAATTATCTAGCTTCTCTTTAAACTCTATTAGGGTATGTTTACACTACCCTCCTAATTCGAACTAGGAGGGTAATGTAGGCATACCGCACTTGCAAATGAAGCCCGGGATTTGAATTTCCCGGGCTTCATTTGCATAAGCCGTGCGCCGCCATTTTTAAATCCCGGCTAGTTCGAACCCCGTGCCG